TGAAGCCTGTTTCTCTAGGCAGAAGGTACAAAGGGGCCTTTGTAGGAAGAATAGTAAACTAGAGCAACAGCTGAATTATAAGGCATAAGGGAAACATTATTTTGACCTCTTTAGGCATTATTTCAAAAATGTTAAAAATCTTGAGAGCTTTCCATTGGAGCATTTAAGGAGCAGGAAATATGACTCTGTAGCAGTAGACATACTTCCTTTAAAATCTAACTGTATACTGTTGTGGTCCAAGTCTGTGCAGTGCAATGAGAGTCCCTTTGGAAAATACTTGTGAGGATTTTACTGGATTAGATTTGAGAATAAAAAGATTATTTTTACTATGGTAGTGAAGTGGGTTTTGTTACTGAGACTGTGAAGATGCCAGAACAAAGCCCACTTGCAAGCAAGCTTTCATAATACTGATGTAATCAGTAGAGAAGAAATGTCATGAAAAGTTTAGCAAAGTAAATGTTCTCACTCAAACTACCAGACGGGAATAAAAAAAAAGCATTAGAGGCTTTTGTAGTCCCATTTGCTCAAGTACTGGCCTGCCTAATGAGATGGGAACAACTTGTGTGTGAACAGATTATTAGGGAAAGGCTGGAACCAATCAACCTTAAGGTGTAGTTGATCATGTTGATCACATATTCCTCAGAGTCAACACTGACCCAGTGGTAACATTTAAGCTTCCTCACAGCATGATCACAACCTTCTGAGCACACCCAGGACAAGTGGACACAAAAAATTCCCACCACAGGGCAGAATTAATTTCCCTCCAATTTGGATTGACACATCATTGTAGGCACATGATGTGAGGCATGGTCTGAGGAACACAATCCATTTCCTAGGAGCTGGTGGCTCACAGATCTGGCCCAGAATGGGACATTGATAATCTCTGCTTCCCCTGGTGCTCAGTGCATCCTCTCAGCTTACATTGCTCTGGGGATTGTTAAGTGTGTTGACTAAATCTCTCTTAATTATAACATGTCTGGCTGACAAGTAAATACTTGGCTTGTATTAACCCATTTAGATGTCTGAATCTAGAGCTGAATCTCTCCCTGGAAATGTTTAGTTAAGTAGGGAAAGATAAGATCTCTTAAGATTTTTCTCTCCCTGTTTCATATGAAATACACTTGTGATTGCAGACCAGTGGAAGATCCTGCTTTCTGTTCAGCAACTGAAATCAGTGAAAAATCACTAAAATATGTGCCTTGAAGCAGGACAGATAGCATCTCTTAGAAGCCTCTGCTCTGCTGTGTCCATGTGACTGTTCACAAAGAATTTACTCATGTGGCAGCAGTGCTCTGGCTCCTGCAGAATCACCCTGGCCATGCACAGGGTATCTGGCAGCATCACTCAGCAAGGACTTTATGCATGAGATCTTCTGCTGGTGCAAAATGTGAGCAGCTCCCTTCACCCAAGAGGAGCTACAATGAGGTTCACATCACCTGAAAAAAAAAAATAGCCCTGACGGTTAGCATTTTAAACAATAAATATTTAGATTTTTGCATAATGGTGTCCATTCTCAAGGAGTCTGAGGTGTGGTCCTACATGTTTATGAGTTGATAACTCCTAATTTTAGGCCCAGAAGAGGGATTAATATTCTCTCCTTCACCCTGGCATGTAATGCAGGCTGTAGAGTGATTCCCAACAAAGACCTGAGAAATATTTCTACTTGTCCAGCCAGCACCTGCAGTCAAGCAAGGAGAAGAAAACATTCCCAGGGTTACAGGCACAAACCATGACTCCAGGAACCCGAGGTGGATGAATTTGGCAACGTGCCCTGTGCATGTATTCTGCTGCTTTAGTGATAACTGGTAACGTCAGTAGGTGCAGTAGATGTTTCATAGCTGTATAAGGCACAGTGGAAAGACAAGAGAGAATGGAGAGCAAATAACAGATGGTAAGGAGGTTGAAATGCTTTATGGTGCTTATTCCAGTCTTAAATGAAAAGGATAATAGTAACAGGGTATTTAGTACAATCATAGCTAACAGAGCTGGGAAGTCTTCATGAGGGAGAACTCAAAAGAAAAAGGCTGCTGATTGCCTAAATCACTTGAATATTCTTAAATCAGTGAGGCTAAATGAAATTCACCCTTGACTATAGTGCTTAAAAGAACTGGTGTGAAAAGAGGTTGCTTTATAAAAGCTTCTCCTGTCTTGTGAAGATGCTGCCATGGTTCATACTCCTTAAATCCCTTGGTGAAAAACACTGCAATTCTATGTACCTTAATGCTCTCAGCACCAAGCCCGAGTCGTGGCTGTGTGTGGTCGTGCACACACAGACACACACACAGAGCCAGCTTTCTGTAGCTGTTTGAGCAAAGGGAAGAATAAGAGTGAAAAGTGACATCGGTTTTGATATTTGACATCAGCTTTCTAGCTGATGAAAGGCAGCAGCATGTTCTAATTATTATTCCCCTTCAAAATAAGCCACGAGCTCAGACAAAAGAGGAGAGAAAGGAGGGGGGAATTCAGGAGAGAAACAGAATCACATTTTCTCACTTATCTAATTAAAGCGAGGTGGGCGAACGGGAGGGAGAGCTCACTGTGCTCAGGGAGCAATGCTGCCCCATTTATTCAGGGAAAGGTGGGAAATGGAGGCAGGAACTCCACTGGGCCCATGGGAATTGTCGCATCCCTGACAGAAAGGATCTGTTCTCCCAATGCTAATTGGCAGTCAGCTTTTGGACATGGTGGTAAGTGGAATACCATGTCCCCATGTAGTGGCATAGCTGTCTGTGCTGTGCTTGGCACTGCTTTGTGTTGTGGCTGCGTCCGGTGCAGAGCAGCCTCGGGACTGTCGGGTGGCTCTGGGATGTCCCACCACACCACGGCAAGGTGTTGGCTCCTGTCTTCACTCCATACATTTTACAACTTTATTTAAACTGCCCTTTAGCAACTTGTACAGCTTCCTGAGCAGCCTGTAGTGGGAATTAGCCTCCCCCGTGGGATTGCCTCACTCACCGGCAGTGTTCCTTCTTTCCGCATTATTCCCCTGTCCCGATGCCACGTTTCATTTTGGCTCCCATGTAAGGTTAAACGCCTCCAACCTTCTTAAAAAAAGCACTTCCTGAAGTCAGAGATTTGCCACCCACTGCCATATGTCCACTGTTTCCTGTCTTACGAGGTAATGACATTAACATATATGCAGCCAAGTGCCTGACATTTGTGGCTCCAGGGAAGGAGCAGCCCTTGTACCTCCTAGAAAGCACCTCAGAAATGGATTTCAGCAAGGGAGGAGTGTCTTCTTTTATGTTTTGAGGTTGATGAAGTGATCTCAAGCCCTACTTGGCTCTGTGCCACACTAGAGATAGTAGCAAGGAGTCAGGAACAAACTGCTCACAGGGGGTTTTTTTTCCCAGCACAGAAGCACTGTCACTTTTCCATCCCTTTTGCATCACCAAACAACTTCTTTTTCCCCAAACAGTTGCAGAGTGGCCAGGTTTCAAGTCTTTAAGCTGTACCTAAAATTGTCAGCTCTAGTGTTGAAGAGAGCTAATAAGCTGGGGACTGGGAGTCAGCCTGAGACCCTTCATTCATCTCCCTGGGGCCACAGATCTGCAGGCACATGTGGGGCTCGGCTGTTACAACCCCACAGGTTGTTGCCTTTTTGCTTTGACAGAACTTGCACCATGGTGATGTGGCTCTCCATTAGGGGATCAGTGTGAATTTGGAGGAGACATCCTTTTTTCCTTCCAAATTTAAGCTTGCTTCTTCAGTTTGGGTGGGGAAAGGGGAAGCTGTAGAAGTGCTCACATGTGTCACTGCATCCTCCACCTGCTTGGCCAGCCCGTTACCCAGTTCTGGCCATATCCCTGCTCTCCCTTCTCACTGTGCCCCTGCTCCATTCCCATCCCTGCTCCTGCTCCTTTCCTGCTGTGACTTGGCTCTCACACACTGCAGGGACAGGCATGCTGCTGAAAAAGAAAGTAAAAGCCAAGTGGCTTCTGGAAGACCAGAGGCATCTGCAGGCCAGCAGATGCTTCTGGTGCCCGGAGTTTCTTGGGACCAGCATGGACCTCAGGAATATTTATTTGCATCCTGGCCTCAGTCCCAGTTGTAATCTTTGGATGCTGCAGCTTTATGAATATTTATTGTAACAGATGATTATCTTTTCTTGCTGCTCACCCTTAGTTTGCATCCTGTTTGTCTGCCTTGCTTCTGGAGTTCCATGTTTTCCCATTGCTCTGCTTTTCACTGTATTCTCATACAGTGTTGTGATATACCCAACTATATATAAAAATAATTATCTGGAGATGGACTCCTGTTTTTTCAATTGCAGTTTTCTCTCTTGGGGTTTTGTTCTCCTTTAAGCCTTGTTTGGTGACAGACAGCTTCATTTGCTCAGATGTCCTTTACCCTCTGAGGTTTAATGTATTTGTTTAGAAGATGAAACTTACTGTCAGTATTTCTATAGCACCCTCTGGAGTCAGACTTCTCTAAAAGCTAGAGCTACATAATTTGTTTCACCAACAAATAAACACTACTAATTGAAATATTATTAGCAATTGGTTGACATCATTCAGGCTCTACCACAGTTGTTGAAATCTGCCCTATTAACTGACTTCTGTTTCACATTTATAGTGTCAGAAAATACTTGTTGGGGGTTTTATTGCAATGCAACAACCACACTCGCATTTCAAGGCTAATTCAGATAACTCAAATGCTCACTCCATGTCTCCACTGCACAAGGAGTTCCATTCAGCTTCAGTTCAAAATGAGCTTTTATTTCCAAAATCTCTTCCATACAGTTCTGTATAACAGGAGCTACCACCTTTTGAAGATTATTTTTGGTGTCTGGGACTAAACCCAGCCTGAGCCAGGGAGCTCTGAGAGCTGAATTGTCTCTATCCCACTCATTCACTAGGCAGGGCTTGTATGCAGCATCCATGACAAGTGTCTTTCCAGGCTGGGTGACAGGGGATGGTTTACAGGCAAGGAAGTGGAGATTCCAAGTGGCTGAACTCTGACATGAAGGCTGCATGTGTTATTATTTCCCGCCCTCACAGTATGCTGCGGAGCTGCTGGCAGTGGTGCGGCTCCCCTTCATCCATCCCAGCTATCTGCTGAATGTTGTTGACAATGAGGAGTTGATAAAGTCTTCAGAGGCTTGCCGGGATCTGGTGAACGAAGCCAAACGTTATCACATGCTGCCACACGCCCGCCAGGAGATGCAGACACCGAGGACCCGGCCCAGGCTCTCTGCAGGTAAAGCAAAACTTCCTTCAACACACCAACCCCCTGGTTCCCCCATGTCCATTTCCTGGACATGCCCTGGGACAGGGCACAGACCTTGGCTCCTTCCCAGAACTCGGTGATATTTCTATCTCAATTTTCCACTGTTACTTTCCTTCAGAATTTGGGAGCATCTCCCAGTGGGTGGACACGGATGTTCAGATATATGCTCCTGAATTGGGGTTTAAAAGGAGCCTAAATTTGAGGAATTATTATCTTTGACAGAGAGTGTAACGTTCCTCTGTTGTCCTGAAAATAAGCCCGTTGCCCTCTTTGCCTCAGTTTCTCTAGTTGCAGAAATAGGTGAATAATTTGATTTTTTTGCCATGGAGCCTCTTGTGAGGAGCATCTGCCTAATATTCGTCAAACACCTTCACTTTCACAGCCCTTTGTAAGTATAATATTTTCATATGGTGAGGCTGGTGTAAATATGGTATTTTTATACTGATGAGTACTAGATCAGACTGTTTAATGCCTCCAGAACAAATTGATCACATATAACATACTCCCTTTTAAAAACACATCAACTGTGAAGAACTGAGTCTTAAAAAGTTTCACACCTGTTTTTCCTTTTTGGAAAAACGCATGGAAAAACCATAAGTGCCCACCTTGCTAGCTGAGCCCACATCAAGGTGATGTGAGAAATATCCTAAATATTCGCTGAACAGAGACTGCAGATACCACATAGGAAAACAGCATTCAAGAAGGGGTCTCATGAAGCAGGTGAATTGTTTTAACATGCTGCCTGTACTTCTGCCTCCCATAAGTACAACAGAAAGCCAGACAAAACTTTCTGTCACTGCCACTGATGCTAATGTGGCACGGCGATGGCATATCAAACCACGGCATTTGCAGCTTCGGGAGACTGCCTCATCAAGGCACCTTTCAGAAGGACGAAGTGTAGAGGACTTTCAATAGCAATCTACCCTAAAAAGTCTTTCATTGAAGACAACTAATGGTGTGATGTTTGAAGGGATTTTTGAAAAGTGCTTATTTTATGTATATAAAATTGTAGGTGTAATGTGATCCATTTCCAGAAGCTTGTTGATGAGGGAAAAGTGATTCTCTCAGGGTAAAGGAGGGTGATTATAGTTTTTTAGGTCAGAGTCTAATTATATAGAATCATGTTATTTTGCATATCAACAGCATTCATGGAGGCACAAAGGATCTCTAAACACCCTTTGTGGACTCGCTGCTGCATGTCACATACCCTCTCGAGGTCATTGATTATAATCAAGTTATGTCTTGCACAGGTGATTACATTTCCTGGTACGGCGCAAAAATAATGATCTCTTGTTACTGAGAAATATTTATTTTAAACCGTACAGCACTTTATCTTAATAACTTTTAAGAGAGTAACCTTGCTTGAATGACACAAATATATTTTTTGAAAATGCTAATGAAGAATGACGATAATCCATTACTCTGCAGACGCATTTCTCTCTGCTGCTGCTCCTAATCCCTCTTTCTGGCAGTCTCACTCCTGCCCCACACCTGTGCACACTTATCTGTGGGCTGGGAACTGTAACACATCTCAGCAATGGCTCCAGTCAGGAGACAGCTCCTGAAACGGTGATGCTTTCCAGCTTGTGGCCTCCTGGTCCTTCTTCTGAGCCTACCTCTCCTGGCAGCACATTGCACGAGGGCTTCCAATTACTGCAAAAAGGTTTTTCATACTTCAGCTAAATGCCAAGTCCAAACCATCCCCAGCACCTGACTCTTGGATGGAGTCAGGAAACATCCCAGGGTTATACTGTGACCCGTCTCTGTGGGAATGAGTCTGGAGAGGAGTTTGGAGTAAAACAAGAGGTCAGATATGGCTCAGCTCTGGCTGTGAAGTGGGAATAAAACATCAGAGATGTGGACTTAAAAGTTTTGCATGAACAGACAGTTTGCTTGCTGGACACCTTGAATGTGATAGGCTTGGGGAAGCTTTTCAAGCACAGATAAAGCTCAGTAAATAACTATATTAATGCAGGGGCCATCTTTGTCATGTTTCTAGCACCTTGTAGACCAAGACCATGATCCATGACTTGAGCACATGTTATCTAGGTCTGGAAAATCTGCTTTCCCTGGGAAAATAAAAATAAATTAAAAAAAAAAAAGCCCAAAAAAAAGCCCAAACCAAACAAACAAAAAATAACCCATCATAAAATTATATATTAATAGAGTGCATGCAGAAAGAATATCAGGATGAAGGTCCATAACCATAGCTTGACTTTCTCCAGACAGACATTACATTAGCTTTTAATGTGAGAAGACTTTATTTAGGTTAAAGTCCAAACATGCTTTTTCTGGATAATGACCAAACTCCAAAGCTATCACAATCCTTGGCAAAACGCCCATTCTCTTCAATGGAAGAAAAAATTTGCTACCTGCAAGTCTCACTCATCTCACTCAAAGACTCTTGAAATGAATGGACATCTTTACATGGAACTGCCTTTTTATTTCTTTCCCCCCAAGTTTTGCCCAGATGGCATTCTCCCTCCCTAGTTCTCCCAAGAGTGTTCATAGTGTCATTCCTCACCCACTGCTCCCCCTACACACACATTCCATTTTTTTCTCACCCTTTGTGGTTTGATTGCAGACTTTAAACCAGATTTATATATGATACATTAAAATTTCCCTGACTGATGGGTGTTTTTGGATGGGTTCCTGCCTGATTGAGAGATGCCACTTTTATAATACTATTTTTCTGACTTGAATCCTAGGAGTAGCTGAGGTAATAGTCTTAGTTGGGGGTCGCCAGATGATTGGCATGAACCAACGTGCTTTAACAGCAGTCACTTGCTTAAATCCTCAAAACAACAAGTGGTACCCATTGGCCAGCCTGCCTTTCTATGACCGAGAGTTTTTCAGCGTGGTCAGCGCTGGAGACAACATCTATCTCTCAGGTAAGCACCAGATTGCATAGCAACAGAACCACAGAAGGGTTTGGATTCAAAAGGACCTTTAAAGGTCACCTAATCCAACCCCCCCTGCCATGGACAGGGGCACCTGCCACTATCCCAGGTTGCTCCAAGCCCATGCAACCTGGCCTTGAACACTTCCAGGGATGGGGCAGCCACAACTTCTCTGTGCCATGGCCTCACCACCCTCAATGTAAGAACTTCCTTCCTTGTGTCCAATCTAAATCTCCCTTCTTTCAGTGTAAAAGTCTTACATCTCATCCTGTTGCTACAGGCCATAATAAAAAGCCTCTTTCCATCTTCCTTATAAGCCCCCTTTAAGTATTGGAAGGTCACCCCAGACCTTTTCTCCAGGATGAAAAACCCCAGCCTGCCTAGGAGAGATGCTCCAGCCCTCTGACTATTTTCACACCCTGTCCTTGGACTCAATTTAACAGGTCCATGACTTTCTTGTGCTGGGGACCCCAGAGCTGAACACTGTACTCAAGGTGGAGTCTCACAAGGGCAGGGTAGATGGGGAGAATCACCTCCTCAACCAGCTGGTCATGCCACTTGTGACACAGCCCAGGACATAGCTGACTCTCTGGGCTGTAAGTGGGCACTGCTGCGTCATTTCCTATTTTTTGTCCCTCAGTTTTCCCCAGTCCTCCTCTAGAGGGCTGTTCTCAATCCATTCACCCCTCAGATTTACTGGGCTGGGAGAAAAGTTACAATACAGACAGCCCAGACAAAGCAGGACCTGCTAGAGTTTTACCCAGCTGCTCCAGGGGAGAAAAAAAAAACAATTTAAAAAGGTAGGAAGAATGCTGAGAAAGAGGCATTTCCCTGCTTTTATCACTCTCCATGTCTCTGCAGTTAACATATTCTGAGAGCAGTCACCAACAATATTTTGCCATTGCAACGTGAAGAAAATAGGTCTGACAACCATCAAGCATGCAAAGAGATTTCACTGCCATAGAAACACAATTTAAAATATTCTCTGTAGTTGAATCTAAATGGTAGGTTATGGAATTTGAGACAGACAGACTGAACTGCTGAATATGTGACCTACACTTAAAGTATTTGCTTACAGGAGCATTCACGTTTTGTACTTGTTGAAACCTCTCTTCTGACAGTAGTCACTAGCCCTATAATCTTCTTAGCTTTGGTGAAACTGAGACCACGCTCCTTAAAAGGCTTTAACTTCCAAAGTATCTGACAACACCATGCCCTGAGCATCACAGTATCTGGATTTTTGCAGTCTGTTGGTACCTCAGCTTGGCTAGAGGAGGAAAAGCAATTCCCACCAGACAATGCAAGAATGCTCTGATGGCAGCTGAGTGGGGGCTGGATGATTAAAAGAGGAGGCTGGGCAGGGAGGTGCGGATGTGTGTGATCCGAGGATGTCGTTGGGAGCACAGATGCACCTGGCATCTGTACCAGTAAGGGGTTACAGCTGTTGCCTTTCCCTTGCCGAGCTCTCTCAGTGCATTTTCTGCAGTAAATTGCTGCCTGTGGTGTTAAATTCCATTAATACTGCATAGAGACCCTAAGAATTGATTGGAAATTATTTCTTGATGTTTTTTTTTTCCCATGCTTGTTTGCCCATGCTTGAGAGCAGCTGGAGCAAAAGTCTTCTGGGGAGGCTTTTGTCAGATGTTGGCTTTTAGTTATTCTTAGCTGAGGTACTTTCCAATATGTACAGCCATTTTAGGCTGTGCCATACCTAGTAACAAAAGCTTAAAAATCCTAATTCCAAAGCTCATTTCAGCTTTTTCCCTTGAATCTGGATGAGTGACCGGATGGTATTTGGTGGCTGCAATAAGGAGAGCTGGAAATGCAGCTAAGAGTCAGTTGATATGTTGCTTTGCTCAAACATAAAAGACACAGGAAAAAGGGAAGGGGAACCAACAGAAGTGAGAATGGCCTGCTGCAAGCTCCAAGTACTGGACCTTGCACTGCATAGCATAGGTTTGGAGATCAAAATACCAAGGAGAAAGTCTGGTTTTCTCATTAAACTATGGAACTGTGCCTAGTTCATTTTCCTGGCTTGACCACTGACTGCTAGTGTGGTCCCAAATAAATAATTTCACCTTTTTGTGCTTCAAAACAGGATAGTAAGACACCCACTAAGTGGCTAACTTGGAAGCTTCAAGCAGAAGTTAAAAAATGACCAATATAATATTTCACGAGATCATCTTGAACTGTTTTACAGGAGTGGTACAGCTGGTTCTGTCTTTTATCTGCAAATGAAAATAAATAAGAAGTTTGCCCCTAAAAATTAGAAATTAAGCCTTCAGTCCAAGCACTGACTTTATTGTGCCCATATATGTGCTGCTTCAATCCAATACTGTATTAAGCATTTTAGGTTTCAGGCTGCCCTGTGTCTCGCAAGCCAAGATACACTCAGCCTCCTGACACTTTCTTGCAAGTGTTGCAGTAATTTAATAGACTGGAAGTTATTTATGAACACTGAGAAGGGTCTATCCCCTTATGTATGTGTCCCTCGTAGTCTGACATCTTGATTTCTTTATGTCATCTTATTAAAAAAACCCCAGCCTTCGGGGCACATGAATAAATGACACAGATATGCATCATCGGAACAGATGCTCAGTATTGAGGGTGATTTATTTTAATTAGTCAAATGTCATTTGAAGAGTTTTTACTTTGTAGCTGCTTTGATTGCTGTGTGTGGAGCTGCTGCCGTGGCAGGATCTCACGTAGCTCTCCCCTTCTCTCTCCCCCGCCCGCCGCGGGTGCCAGGCGGAATGGAGTCGGGTGTCACGCTGGCTGATGTCTGGTGTTACATGTCCTTGCTCGATAACTGGAACCTCGTGTCCCGCATGACAGTCCCAAGGTGTCGACATAACAGCCTGGTGTACGACGGGAAGATTTATACCATCGGAGGGGTTGGTGTGGCAGGCAACGTTGACCATGTGGAAAGGTAAAAAAAAAAAAAAAAACCTAAAAAAACTCAAAACCCACAACTGAAAAAAAGAACCAAAAACAAATAATGTCTTGTTTGCTGGAGCTTTTCCTTCATGCTATGCTAAAGGACACATCAAATGGACTGTATGAGTTAAAGTAGGAAAGTGGGCAGGATTATATTTCATTTAAAAGCTTCAGTGGAAAGCATTGTTTCAAAACCAAAGAGGAAAGTTGACAGCTTCTCACTTTGCTCAGGGGAGGGAAGAGAGGAATTAAGCTTCTTTGGACATTTTTCCAGGTTATACAATGAAGTAATAAACTCCCTTTGAATTTAGTATTGATGAAAGTCTTTACAGACCACAGTAGTCCTTTGTAACATTTTTTAATCCAAAAAAGCAACAGCAAAGTAAGTTTCTTGTATGTGTTTTCCTAGTGTAGCACCTCAACTTTGTCCTGTCTGGAAGATCCTCCCTTTGGTGGTCTTGGCCTGGGGCTGGGACCTGCCAAGTGCACAGTAAAACAACCAATAATAAATGGAAACAGTTTTGAATTCCTGGCTGAACAAAGATGGGAGAGAATGGAAATTTCTCTTTTCAAGTAGACTCCAGATGTAATTTTTTTCACATGGAACTTAAAATAACAGGAAGGAACAAAAGTGCAACAAAAATATTTCACTAAGTAAAATTCCAAAACCAACTGATTTCTTGTCACCCATGGCATTCAATATAGCCATACATTTTATATCTATACCAATTTTTCATTAAAAAAATAGAATTCACTTTGAAATTCAGTTTATGAGAATATTCTATTCCAAAAATATCAATACAGTCTTAGCCTTCCCCAAACACTTAATTGGGAAACATACTTGGGAAATGTTTTTCCTAACTCAATGTGGCAACCAAAAATATTTTTGTCAGTTTAAATGCTGAATTTGAATACTTCTTCAGTAACATTTTGAAGCAGGCATTTTCCAGTAAAAATTGCCTTAACAGGCAAGACAAATAGGGGTAGGTCATTAGGAAGAATTTCTGAGGAAGAGAAAAACAACACATTTTTCAAAAGGTTGGGAACTGGTGTTGGTGATGATGCTATCAGCCATCAGGGAAATGCAGACAGCAAAGAATGAATGATAAGTCGTAGCAGTGAACACAACATGTGAACACTGCTCCCCTCCTTCGCCCAGAACTTAAGGTGGGCACTGCCCATGGGACTTGCTTTGAAGCAAATCTCATCCTTTTCAGCAGATTTCTCTGAAGGTATTCATCCCATAATTTAAGTCAGTAATTTTTTCACTAGCAGAACTGTTTTTGTGAACACAGGAAGAAGAGAGCCCAGGAAAGAGATGCTGCTTCATTCCATCTTGCGATAAAGATGAACAGCAAAAGAATGCTATTGAGGAATCTTGATAGTTGTCATTGATTAAATTATCTCTTTTCAGTTTTCCTTGGGCCTGATTTCTGTCTCTGCTCTGATTATCATGACCTATTAAAGCATCCAAAAGGCTGGTCAGCTGAATGAACCCTAAATCAAGCAGAGTCCCTCCTACTCCCTCCCTCTCATGTCAGTCACCCCAGCCCTCACCACAGATGACATTGCAGCCTGCAAAGTCACACTCAAGCCCTTGGTGGCCCCTGCTTGGCTCAGTGAGAGCAGCAGTGCTGGTTTTCCATTGTACCAAGCCCACCAGGAGACCTGGATGTAGGAAAGGAGCAGATTTCCTCCCTATCATTTCAGTGCACACTGTCTCAGCCACAATAAGGATGTCTTGTCATGGGGATTTGCTAAACCCGTGGTTATAATTAATCTGCTGTTGTCTATAGAGTGGCTTGTGAGACAGAGCCATGGAAAAAGTGCAGCATGGCCTCCTTTGGGCTATGCCAGGAAATGAGAGAAGTTTGGGGATGTTTCCTTTTTTATTCTTCATATTAAGATGACAGTAGGGGGTGACAGAAGTGAAGCATTAGCATGGCTGAAGCTGTGTTTTAGGAAGGATGTTTCAGGGTCTGCTGTCAGAAGTGCAGGTGAGGGAAGGCTGACTCTCCCAGCAGTGCTGAACAAAGTGAGGCCTTTTCACACAAAAGCACTTCCCATTTGGACAAGGCAGGATTCAGGAATTTAAATTGCTGTGCCTATTTTTGCAAGCAGTGAGGATTTCTGAATTTGGATTGCAGCTTTGGAAACAAACACACTAAAATACATACTAAAATTACTTTAATTGCTGAATTGGCTGCTGTGTTACAAGCCGTGAATGCCCACTTTTTGCCTCTGCTTTTCTTCTCTCCCCTCCTCTAGAACTACAAGAAACCAACTTTCTCCCACCATATTTCTGTGTGGATTGCACATTCCTCTTTCAAATACTGTGTTGGTTTGGATGGGACAGTGTGATGCAATCGCTCAGTAAGGGGTAAACCTCTCTGTCATTCCAGCAGGTCATATAAAAACACTAAATTAAAATAATGTGGCATGGTCATATGCCACATTATCACAGTTATCACTCCTCCCCTCAGTGTGTAATTGCAGACACACATTCCTGGGTTTGGTGTAGTTTTTCACCTCCTAGAAGGCCTCTAAGATTATAGCCCTGTTATTCCCCCAGATGGAGGTGCAGGGGCTCATGCAGGCCTGACACACAATGCAGTCCTGGGCTGTGCCACCAGTGTGAAGGGCAAGGCACTGAACATCCTCCCTTGCTGGACCACCTACCACCTCCCCTACTGTACATGCAGCTTATCTTTCCCAACCACATTTTGCTTTCTGCTTGCTCAGTCAGCCCAAGCGTGACCATGCCCAGCTTTGGCCAGGTTCTGACGTGTGTCTGCTGGCATGGTGAAGAGCATGTCTCCACTCCAGAGTGACTTATCCTGACCTCACCAGTAAGGAGACCCAGAGGATGATGCCTACAGGGTGTCTCACCGCAGTGGGTATTCGAAGACAGAGAACATAGCATTTTCTCCCAGTTTCTTTCTTGTTCTTCACCTGTTTTTCATGGAATTCTTTTAATACTTGATCCTAAATGTTTAAAATCTTACAAATAGGTTCTTCACAGCATCTTGCTTTTTAAAAGCAAATGTCAGACCACCTTAGCTATACCTGATGCCACCTGCCTACACATAATACATGTGCTGCAGCATTACAAAGCATTAAAGCAAGCAGGGACCACTGGACTCGTAATGATTTATGGCATCAGCTCCTGTGTCCCTCTCTCCATGCTTTTGGTTGTGTCATTGATGCTGAAGGGTGCAGCTTCACCCAGAAATTCTGGTGCCACTTAAAACAGCGGGTGTTTTCCCATCAAATTCAACAGGGCTGAGATTCTTTACCCGTTATATGCCATTTGTCTGTAAGGAGGCAGCAAAAATTCCATCTCAATGGATAATATGGGACTATCAATCACAAACAGATGAATAGGAGTCATTTGTTACTCATCTTAAAATAATATGCATGTGCCAGAGGGGCTGAGTTATAAGTCCATTTTTGTGGCTGTGCATGGGTATATGTTCAGGGAAAGTTATGTTTTTGCAATGAGTGTTTAGGGAAATAACAGTGTGGCTGCAGTTCTCCATCAAGCCCCTCTGGCAAGGTTCTGTGTGACAGGAAGCAAGTCATTAGGTGTTAGGCGAGAAGTATTACACTTTCTGTCTTCTTCTGAGATATGAGTTGAGTTGGGAGCTGGTGAAATGAAGTGGATCCACGAACTAAGTCTTTAGATAATGGATGGGCCCTGTAATATATGCAATTTGAGAGCCGAGAAGGCTGCATATGCTGACAAGACAATGTATGTGACTGGAAGTGTGGAAATGTGGGTGCTTTGTGGTTATTATATGTTTGAAGGACAGAAAAAGATGAATCCCCTTGACCTGACAGCACTTTTACAATAAGGTTGTCTAAAATTGGGAGATTACTTTTGTTGGCAGTGCATACGCTGAAGACAGTCTAAAAAAATCAGTGTAAAGAATAAGCTTTATACATTTTAGAAACTGGTTCAGAACCTATCATTTTACTGAGATATGATCATGTAGGAATTAGGGGTTCTCCCCCAAGGAAGGTAGACATTTCTTCACCAGGATTGCCATGCACTGGAACAGGCTGTGAGGGGAGGTATTTAGAAGTCATGTAGATGTGGCACTGACAGACATGCTTTAGTGGTGGGCTTGGCAGTGCTTTGTTAATGGTTGGACTCAATGATTTTAAGAGATCTTATCTATATGAAAGAAAATTAAATATATTGCCTTGTTTTAAGATAGTTTCTTAAGCCTGTCAGAAGAAAAAAGGCAAAAAATAGTAATTCGTTGTTGTGATGTTAAATATGTGAATCATCTGAAGAGCAGTTCAATATGACACTGTACTGCTTTAGTTTAAATAGAAGCCTTCCTGCAAATAGAATTAAATAATTATAACTGAAGGATTTCTTGCAGACTGACAGAAATGGTTAGTGTGTAAGCAGCTGATCATGATGTAAGGATCTTATAATGTGAATAAATGAAGATACACATACTACTGTTTAACCTAGAAGGAGAGAAATTAAGAGACTGAGGAGGAAAAAAAAATACTATTTTCAGGTACTGAAGAGATCAAAAGTCAAGAAGGCAGTGAAGCGAGTGGCACAGCTTGAAATGAAGGGTTTTCTGCTGTTAATACTGAGGTGGTAGAGAAAGAGCAAGGAAGGAGGAGTTGAATGAAATGAATGAAGGACAGGGAAGATCAGTCCCACAGATTAAATCCTAAGAGTGAAGAGTTGTGGAAACCAGCAAGGTTTTATTTCTGCATGTGCTGTCTTCAAGCATGAGCTGTGTCTTCTGCTGGGTTCAGATCACTCATATCATGGATATATAAATTATACATATGCATATATTATACATATACATACATTATGTATACAGATAATGTACATATACACATATGTAAGAGATCTAAAAACATATAAGGTATGTGTGAATAATACATGAATCAGTAGGTAGTGAGTGCACAAGGGTCACATGAGATCCCTGTACTCAGAGCAAGTGACACATGAATGACAGGTGGGGACACGTGTCCTACAGGGCTGGGGACCGTCAGGTTGCTGGGGCAGAGGAAGGAGCGTGAGGAAAAGTGTGTAAAACCACGCAGGAGTCCATAGTGTGCAAGGACTGCAGACCAGGAGTCAGTTGTGTGAAAGGAGATGCCCTTGATGATTCAGATTCAGCAAACTGGATGGGCTCAGTCGGCCCACAGCCAAGGACAAGCATGGACACACCAGGAGGGAGTGGTGGAGGAGAGGGAAGAAAAACCTTTGCTTGGCTTGAAGCCAGCTCACATTATGTCTCCATCTATGGCTCCAAACAGGGGATTCTAATGCAAAGCTTGACTAATGGAAAGAGATCAAAGTGATTATTCTTTGAATCAGTTTCCTCCCTGCTGGCCCTTGAGCAGGGCTGGTGTGACAGGCAGCCAGGAGCCCCATGAGCACCAGTGGCCGTGGTGTGATGGCAGTGCCAGAGATGACACAACAGATGGAAAAGCCCTAGGGCAGGGAGGTAAAGCAGGTGTCAGTATTTTCTGTCCTAGGAGGTTATAAAGGTTAACCTTCATTCATTTTTAAACCAATTTTGTTAATCTGGTGCAAATCCTTGTGTGAACACATTAAGAGCTGACTTGAGATAGACCAAAATGATGGAAACCTGCCTTGCATAGATTTAAAGAGCTTAGACTATTTAGTTTATCCCATAGAAGGTAAAGAGTTGACTTTTATTATTTTCTGCACGTCCATATGTGAAGGAGAAAGATTTGATAAGCAGACAGCTTTATAATCCAACAGGGAAAAAGAAACAAACTTTCTGGTGGGTGGAAACTGAAGCAAAACAGACTAGAAATCAAGTTACCCATTTTGCAAGGAGGGAGTGAACTGGAGGAATAAATTCCCAGGGGATGGATGGACTTGCTGGACAGCTGTCAGGAAGCCTTGAATGCATCAATTTCTCCTCTTCAGCCTCAGGATTAAGGCAGATACTCACTTAAGAGAGTTGCTTCACTGAGCAGCCCATGTAAGACCCACATTAGATGCCCATGTTAGGTAGACAAGAACTTGCTTCCACCTACTTTATGGTTCACTGATTTTTTAAACCAAATTAACTTCAAGAAAATAGTGGGGGCTTAAGCTTCACCACATGCACCTGTATCCCATATATTTTCAGCCTTTGGCTTTCATCAGATGAAAGTGGAACTCGTCATTTTTGGTTTCTCAGTGGCAAATGAAGGACAGTAGGAGAAAGAATGATCAGCTCTGTCATTGCAGAGCATACACAGAGAGCAGAGGAAGTGGGTTAAAAATAGGGTCTGAGGGACCTGAGGCCTCAGTAGAGAAATTAATCCAGAAAAAGGATGATTGTTTTTGCCATTTGAACCTTTCCCCAGTATTCCTATTGATGCAGGCCTCAGCCACACCCAGCCCCCAGCATACGTGAAGGATATAACCCCTTCTTCCCAAAAACATACTGGGACAACCAGAAAGTCATTGCCAAGAATGTCCTTGTCTTGGGAGCTGAAGTGTGCCAGGTACTTCTGTCAGCAGCAGGGAAGGGACTTGGCTGCTCACTACCCCCATTTCAGACCACTTTGACTTCCCACAAATGTTCCTGGTGCTAAATCAGAGTAGATGGTGTGAGACAAATATATATCAGTTGACAGGTAGAATGGTCCTAAAGGAGGAACAAGAGAAAGAACACTAGGTCAGTTCTCAGCTCTGTTGTTTTTCCCATTCTATACCCAATTATAACCAATTTTTTTAACAAGACATCAAGAATTACATTACCAATTACTGCAGTAGCTAAGTTAGCAAAGTGTGTCCCAAAAGCAATGTGTGAAACTTTATATTATGCGAGATTTTTTTGCGTATCTGCTCGGGTGGATGTGAGTGCTGCTCCCGCTGAGTGCTGTGGGTGAATGCAGGAGATGCAGCATGCGGTGACTTACCTGGAGGAGCTGCTTGTGCAGTGAAAATGCATCTGCAGGCTCAGGTTTGGTACAAGAATCAGCCCAGTAAAGGTGTGTCACTGTGAATGCTCACAGCACCATGTTGTTTAATCTTGTTATATTTCTTCCCTTTGATCTCTTGTTGTAGATGAATTTAATTTCTCTGTAACTAATTTAGAGCATCATACAAGGCAGTTCTCCATGCTCATTATAAGGGACCTTCCTAATTTTTTTCAGTTAAAGTTTGCCTCCCTCTTGCTTTTGCTTCAGTTTTATGAGTGTGTTAATTACTTTCAGTTATATTACTAGGAAACTCATTAGTGCATTTTATTAAGCACATTATTTTCTGCTGTTTATGCCATTTTTATCATTCCTCCCTTTTATTTTCCCCAAGTTTGAGCGGTGAAAATTTGAAAGACGTTACAGAGGGAGAATTCCCTTGTTTCCAAATAATATTTTGCAGACGGGTTCATGTTCATCAATTCATTTCATGTTTGCATATTGCATATCACTGCCTCTAAGAGCAAAAGCCCTAAAAGGGTGGTGAGGGCTTCTGTTCTGGCAGTCAACAGCTCTGAAAAATCACTATGCAGAAACTCCTCTTTGACTGCATCTGTCATTACATGGAAATACAGAAACCTAAAAATCACATTATTCTCCACTGTCTCGAAGACTCATTTTAGCACAGCTATTTGGATCCCTGCCACATTATCTTTAAAAAAGGGGGATGCCTGTACTTGTGATGTTGTCTAAAATGAATCTTCATCCATGGATTGTTAACTGTACATCCCTTATGGTCAATGACTTAATTAAATCAGATACTGATGACCTTAAAACTAATTTAGCACTTTCATGCATACTCTTTTCTGTTTGATTCATGTCAAATACAAATGCAATGGTGAAATCTTACTCCAGCATTAACAGCTGTAGCATCCTGAAATGAAACACAGTAGCTTGGTTTGCACTATTAAAATTAAATGCACAATGAAAATTAAATGGAAGCAACTTATTCTGGCACAAAATGAGAGTTGCTGGTCAGTTAACTAGAGTAAAAGCAGCCATCATGTTGCATTATGTTGCAGGTGAGATGTGTTCCACAAGCTGAACAACTGAAGTATATTAACAGTTGCCTGCCCACAGTCACTACTGGATATCTCTGCACTGATTAGCAAGAATAATCTCATTGTATACTCATTAAAAGAAATTAATCAGTGGAAGACATCTCAACAAAGATGTCCTGAATTTCTGCACCTTGGACTCTAATGAGATTTGAGAGGCATATACAGAAAACAGAACCAGCGTTCTCTGGGCTTCTATCCATGTTTTAAAACCTTAGAGAAAAGTATTCATTACACCATTTACCAAGTGGCTGAATTTGCAAGAAGTTAAAAAAATACATTTCCACCTCTGCTTTTCTTCTGCTTGCCAAGCTGCCTTTCTGAGCCTGTCTGTGCTGTCCAGTGCTGCTCAGCTCAGCTCACTGCGCCTGCTGTCGTCCCCAGGTACGACACCATCACCAACCAGTGGGAGACCATCGCCCCCCTGCCCAAGGCCGTGCACTCGGCCGCGGCCACCGTGTGCGGGGGCAAGATCTACGTCTTCGGAGGGGTGAACGAGGCCGGCCGAGCCGCGGGCGTCTTGCAGTCCTACATCCCCCAGACCAACTCCTGGAGTTTCATAGAGTCCCCGATGATTGGTAAGCTGTGTGTGCTACAGGTATCTGAATGCCTCTTTCAGAAAGCAAAGGAGTTGTGGGGTAGGAGGGGATGTCCCTATAACATATTGGCAGGAATGCATAGATATTATACCAGAGAAGCAATTATCTGGATTTCCGCTGAAGGCAATTGTCACTCATTAATACAGACAGATTATAGTTATCAACTAGAAGTGATGAGTTCAAAGCAGAGGAGAAAATAAATCAGTTCCTAGGTATGAACAATTAGCCATTTTAGATTTAAAAAAATCTCCGAGTGCAGCAAAACTTCATGCTGGCATCATGTGTTGTCCCATGTGAGCTCAAGTAGTGGATTATCACTCATGGATTTGTTAAAATGCTGCCTGTCCTGTGAGAAGTGACAGGCATTCTGAACTGGGATTTATCAGTGATGTCCACAGGCATATGTGCTTCAGAGGCTGACAGCTTCAAGATGTAGTTTATTAAAACTGTGTTTATTAGTTTATGAAGCCCTTGAGCTCACCAAACATAAAGAGCAAGACAAGAATTCAGGTTTTCCAATGTACCAGCCAATGTCAGAGGTGGTGGCTTCCTTCCAAAATTAGAACAGTGCTCCAAAGTTTGCAGCTTACTTGCTTTCTGTGGCAATTTGCACCCTGAATGTTTAGGCTGCTTTTGGCAATGAGGTTTAGCGCTCAGCCAGGCGAGGATGCTCCTGCAGGCAACAGCTGACCTGGGTCGTCTTCTCTGCACTGGGCTCTGCCAGCCTTCGGTCTGGCTGCACCCAAGTGGCCAAAGAAACAACTCCCACATAGTCATTGCAGAGAAGCTACTTTGAGTGGTTGGCTTCACCTCCGAGTTCAGAGAATCATACAGTGGTTTGGGACCTTTAAAGGTCATGTAAACCAAGCAATAAACAAGGACATCTTTCACTAATTCAGTTTGCTCAGAGACCTGTCCAACTTGACCTTGAAGTTTCCAGGGATGGGCCATCTACTGCCTGTCTGGGAAACCTGATCCAGTGTTTCACCATTTGTGTTGAAACTGTGACTTCATTTTTAAAAAAATCTTCTTCTCATTACTGAGCCTTAGAGCAATAGGAATATCAAGTAAGTAATCTTAGAAGGTCAGCTGTAAGGTATTCAGGTAAGGCCTAAGCATAATCAGAAACTTAGAATGAGCTGGTTTTTCCTTTGCACCTCAGTACAATGATTCCCCCCTTTTGCTGGGGGTCCTGGTAGATGAGGACACGAGGAGCTGGCGCCCTGTGGCCGCAGACAGCCCCACCGCCCGGCTTTTTCCATCACGTGGCTACAGCTATTGCTGCTCCTTTAATCCGCTGACTGACACTGTGAGGTTTTTCTGGCCTTGCAGATACTGCAAAAAGGAGTGCATTATGCAAAGTTCTACTCCTCTTCCTTACCATGATAGTTCAAGTGCCACAGGAGCTAAGGAATCATCCCCTGGGCTCGTTAGGGTCTGGCAATTGTCAACACCATGTGTGCTTAAAAAAAATAATCTTAACCATCTAGAGTTGGGTTCATCACCCATAGTTTTAATAGAGTTGTACTATTATTTCTTAATAGTACAAAAGTACATTAAAGATTCTCGTGAAGTTAAAAGATGGTATTTATGTTTTCTTGATGTAAGCAAAGTTCATTTGTTAAGCTGAAGGCATAAAATATATGACAAAACAAGGAGTTCTTTATTAAGTAATGCATTATGTCAATTTACTTGCAAATAACTTAAAATAACACAAAGTCTGAAAAATGGCACCGCCATGGAGAATATCTGGGAATGTGAACTGGTGTAATGCCTGATCTTCACTACAAGGCAGTGGTAATTTTGAAAATATATTTTAATTTATCCAGCTCTACAGAAACCATAGTGTCACCAGTATTTTTAAAGTATCCCCCCAAGTGCCAGTATCCCACATGCAGTGCCAGGTACAGTACAGACTAAAGGAAAGAGGAAGTAGGAGGAGCCTTTTGGAAAATGGAGCTGGGATCAATCCTGACACGATCACTGCCAGGGTGCCTCTAACAGTCTCGGAGCCTTTTTGTTTTGATTTGTGAATTCCTAAAGTGTACCTCTGAGTTAAGGCCACTGAGATGTCTGATGGTGAGTTCTTACAAAGTCACTCCAGAGATCAGTGAAACCTGTTTAACCTCAAATAGGACAACAGTTTATTTAAGAATGTCTCAAGGATGCTCAGATATGCAACAGTAGCTGCAGGTGTTGAAAACAGCCAAGCTCTGTGGAGATTTTTAGACCAGTAGCACCCATCTCAGTTCACTGTGGTATTTTATGATAGTGAGTTGAATGCAGCATGGCACATGTTTGAACCCAAAAGGTCCATCTCTTTCAAAGCATCACATGCCAGCCTAATCCAAGGCAACACTGGTATCAATCATGGCTCATGTTTAGTCCAATCTGACTGGAGGTGAAGCAGGCTGGACACTGACATCCTGCCTGTGCAGAGGAAATACAGACTGGAGACGGATAGTCCACACAGCTCAGCCCTTGCTCTTCTGCCTGGAATTCTAGGAATATGCAGTGGATTCTAGGAATATGCAGTGGATTCTAGGAATATGCAGTGAGTTCCCATTTATTCTGTATGCTTCAGCTGTCGGGAGGTGTTGGGACATGGGTGCCTGTGAGCAGTAGGTACGACACCAGGCTCACTGACATTGCATGCGGATGCTGTGGAAGCCTTTGAGCGAGTTTGGTCACATTTGGGGAGGAGAAGGCCTTCCTCAATACCCCATCCTCTGCCCCATGTCAGTCCTTCCCACCTGGGAGTGGGCAGATGTTCCTCCAGCAGTGCAGCCCACAGCTAGATGTTGCTGGGAGGCTCACAGGGCTTTCACACTGCCTATTTCTAGTAAACCACGTTGCACATCCCCTTCTCATGTTTTTAGATGTAAAAACAAAAGTCCTACTTGAGTAAATGAACGGGGGCTATGTGCTTGCAGCATCTGCCTTTCCATTTCTGGACAAGATGTCCTATGTGGCTGTGCTAAAAATGTATTCCATGCCCAGCTTCCTGAGCTTTGTCTTATTTAACAAGATGGCCACAGACATGCTGAAGTCAGGGATTCTAAGTAAGCCTAATTACTTGGTCACTGCCTTTTAGTTCACATTGTGCTTTCATGACAGGGCACTAAATTATACCTTTTTTTGATACTCTGAACAGTATCAAAACAGTCAGTGTGGAATTAAAAGTTTTTATTAATGTTTTTTGATTGGAAGAAAACCAGTATTTAATTACCATGACTATTAAATTTTTAAATCTGGTGAGATGCAGAGAACAGAGATCTCAGATCTGTGAGTATTTCTGGTTTCTAATCCAAGTATCTAGTTCCTCACCGTACCATTTACTCCTGCAGTGATGTGTCAAACCAAAGTGGGACAATCATAGACCTAAGAACGCAGAACCTATCTGGAAAACAGCACTAGAAGCATCTGTGCATTTTTACTGCACTGTCCCATGGCTTATTTTGGCTAAAATTAGTAATAATAATTTTTTTTTTTTACTTTAGAAGAAAAATCAGATATATGTCTTGGCACTCTCCCAAGGCCAATAGTTTGATATTTGTAGGGGAATATAGCTGGCTTTCACCTGAAAGTCCCACAGCAGTGAGTGTTTCATCTCATTCTTCAGTGTATTTTTCTTCCCATGGCCAAGCTTGAATTTTTACCTCACCCATTTCTCCTCTGTACATGCCTTGTGTTCCCTTCAGAATGACTTTTTCCACTCCTCAGTATTTCCCTACCTATTCTCTGCCCTACAAAATCAGTATTTTTGTGTTGATGTTTATTCAATGTCCTCTTCACTCCTACCTTTTCTTCCTCTCCATGGCTGTTCTTTTCCCAAGACTCAGAAACTGAAGTTCACCAACATGGTGCCCATAAATTTGATGCTAAAGCTGCCCTGCAGTGGAAGGTGGAGCCTCCTGCTTTGCCATGGGCCATATCCACCACACATCCACAAAATGTGGTGTTTGCAAGTGAGGACATTCAACTTTGGGTTCTCCAAGGAGGGTTTGCCCAAGGGTCAGTGGGGAAGCCATGGGGCTGGCAGCCAGTTGTGTGTCTGGAAGAGATCAGCTCCCAGGAGAGCTCTGAGCCTTCAGGGTGACATCCAAGCCCTCACTGATCATGCAGCAGCTTCACCTGGGCCTCACAAACTGTGTTCAGGATCAGATCACAGTCTCCTGGTTATCCTACAGCCGTGCCAGTCTTGAGTTTGTCTGCAGTTCAAGGAGGGGAAGAGGCACTTACTATTAAAAGCAGGCTTAGTTTGTATGAACCAGACTCCTTTCTCTAATCTGCTCCATCAAGTGCATCAACCTCCCTACTAGGCACCCACACCTGCCAGGAGACAATTTGTGGGAGTTCTGCCTAGACTAGTGGCCCTCCTGCATTTCCTCCTAACAATAAAAATGTTTAACTAGCTAGGTTATAATAACCTTTTTCTGTCTGGAGTGCTGCTGCCATTCATTGCAGTGCCCCTTCAATCTCTGACCGAGTGCGTTACTGGAAGGCAGCGTAAGACCTTTGAGCAATCACAGAAGGCAAAACAGGACTCTGCTACTTGTCCAGGTAATGTGAGATGTGAGAGCCACAGGCACATCCCAAGAGCAGCCTGTCCTCCCTAAGAGAAGAGCACAGCAGCAGGTTAAATCATCAACCCCACATGAAGGACACCTCTGGCTCAATGGAGTGTACACTCCTTCCTCCAGTGGCCTGTCACAGAATAGAACTACTGGCTTATCCTCCTGTAGTAACAGAAAAGAAGGATGTTACCATGTTATCCACTTGGAGAGAAGATTACCTTTTACCTATTCTTTCATTTACATTTATTCTGCCTTCTAATCTCAAGTGTGTTTGCTCACCTGGACAAATCCCATTTAAGATTTTCCAGCCTGAAATGGATTACTATATCCAAAAGCCTCAACAATCAGACTTGCAGAGGAAAGGAGGCTGCTTCTCTGTTTCCATGCTTCCTCTCCCCTCTCTTCCTTTTCTCCAGCAGCCTTTTGAAATACCCAGTGGGCCCACTGTATCCCACAGAAGCCTCTGACACATAGAAGCTCATGTTCACACCCAGTAGCTTTGTCTACCTCCTCTCCAGCTTGCTTTGCATTGGCCAAAAGGCCCAGCCAGAACACATTTTTGCAAAACTAGGCTCCCCACCAGCTACCTTGCACTGGGACCATGTTAAGGGATTAAAACAGTGACAGAAATTGGAGTCTCCTGAGAGTTTGCATGAGCATACCAAACCCTGAAAAAGACACCACCACAGGAACAGTGTGGGTTGCACCTGGGATGAAGTAAGGTTAAAAATTGAAGGTGGTCATCCACACCAGGAATGATGACTTGAGGTTTCCAAAATCCCAGTATCCATGAAAATTTCTGTCCCCATGGTAACAAAACAAAAAACAACAAAACAAAATAAAAACATAACAAACAAACAAATACCCACTGCTTCCTCTCTACCTGTTTCTGAAGGCGTGTCCCTCATGTCTTTTTGCCGTATCTTCATCAGGAACAAGAGACTTTTCTGTGAACAACTCCCTTCCTGAAAGAAACAACAAAGATTTTTGTGTTTCTGTATCTCAGACTTACTTGATAACCAATCTATGAAATTATAGAGAAAGATAAAAGCAGTAAAAAGACAACAGATAGGAAATGTATTGAAAAATTGATGAGATTCAAACATGATTGCCTCTTAAAAAAGGAAGAAAAAGAATATCAGACTGTCTGCCTATTCAAAAAGGAAAAAAAAAAAGTCACTATAAAAATACCCAAGGGTTTTCCCTCTCGTTCTTTAACAAAAAGAAATGTGAAGTCAGTGATTCAATCCCCTGAGAAGTCACTGTTTCTGCCATGAGGGAGCCCCAAATAATTTCCCTGTGAGATTTGGGAGCTGAGGGGATTTTTTTAATACAAGAGTTTCATTCTCCTTCAAAACAGTGCTAGTCAGAGGGAAAAAAAAAAAAAAAAAACACCCAGGAAGATGTGATAATTAAATATGGAAAATTTCTGGTGAGTGTCTTAAGTGGAAAAAATGTCACATATGCAAGTCTGATTTGGAAAGGGATGCGAGCCGGGTTGTTAGGATAGATAAGCCTTTCTGATGAATTACAGTGGCTTAGTGGCACCGCAAAGAAACTGAATACTCCTTGTTCTATTTTCTGGATGAATTAGTTTCTTGCCATCTGTTCCCAAGGATCAGTGACATTTTCCTAATACAGCCATGGTTTTTTGACATATGCCTGTAGATACTCAGCGTAGTAGAAGCTCAACTTTAACCCATCACACGGGTTCTGTCTGTTTCCCTGCTGGGTGCCTCACCCCTGTAGGTCCCCCTGGGCATGTGCCAGTGTGGGGTGGGATGAACTGAGCCAGACCACTCCATGGCCATGCTGGGACAGAAGCAGACAACACAAAACCATTATTTTCATTCTAGTTTTACCAGCTGAAACTGCAATTAAGGAGATACCTCTTCTGGAGGTGTTCATCAGCTTTTGCTTAACTCCTGTCAAATTAAACCTCTGTTAAATATTTAATGGAATAAGGTAGTTTTACAAGAACCTCAGGGTTACAACACACCATGCAAGAGGTAAGCAAATCCCAAAATAAAGCTGCCAGTCTGGCTTAAGCCCATCCTTTTCTGTGTTCCTAAAAGGACAAAGTCTTAAAGCTGTAGATTTGGGAGGAACATATAAACCCCTTTGACATTATGTCAGAGATGTAAGAGCACAGTAAAGCTGGTATCTCACCTCCTCTCCAGCTTCTGCCTGCAGGTCCCCTTGGGAGGAGATTGCAGGGGCTGAGACCAGCAAGACTCTGTCCAGTCTGATTCCTTGTTGGACATGCTGGGGGATCAACCTTCCCTGAGCACATGAACATGCAGATTTTGGGAGGGCTTTAACTTATATATAACTACAAATGGAGAATTTTTATGTGTCTCCTGACCCCAGGATGGCCTCCCAGGAAACATGCCCTTCACACCCCAAAGGACTAAGTCACCTGCCTCTTATTAGAGAACTGGTTGTAAGGCTTATTTTAACTCAAAGAATGTATTTTTCCATCTTTTGTTCCCAGGCACGACTGACTGGTTCCACAGAAATGTTGATTAAAAATCTGTATCTCATCAAGACAGACATCATCATGAGAAATTTCAGCCCAACTGGCTCATATTTAATAATGTGCATATGGCATGTTAGTAGCATAATGGACAAGCCAACTAATTAGATTAGAATTATTTTATTCAATAATTTATGATTAGTTTTACTAATATTTCTAATAATGCCACAGATAACAAGAATTTTAAAGTGTCCTCAGAAAATCTGATTGAACTTGACTCAAGAGGAGAGATTTGCTTAATTTCAAACTCCCAACCTCACACAGTTTGTTGTTAAATTACAGGACTGCTTGGAGATACACACACATCTGAAAATAAAAATGCAGGTGAATTTATGAGACAGATAAAGGTGAAAAAGAAATCAGGTCTCAGAAAATCTTCTGGAAATGCATGGGTGACATTCCCACAAGCAAAAGCACAATATAAAAGAGTATCAACTATTGGATATTATTAAGGGGTTCTCTGTGCTGTGGGTTTCTGCTGCACTTAGCAGCTGCACAGGCATGGGGAACACCTGAGCTAAAATTTGCAGCAATTCAAAATTCTGAAACAATCCAACATCTTAATTTCATATGTAACTGTGGAACTTTCTTGGTGACTCCATTAGGCTTCAGGAGAAGATAATTGTTCTTTACCAGTTTACAGGGAGGCACATACTGGGGGATGATGAACTGATGAACTTTAAAAGTGCCTTTGAGAACTTGGAGAGAGGAGAACAAAACCAGGAAAGGTTTCCTCATTTTTCTTTCCCTAGCCTTGGAGGTTTAGAGAAACGTGACTTATCTATCAATAAGGGGAATGTATAAATAAAAAAACAGTTTCCAAACCTGAGCCTAAAACTGATCTCAGTGTTGCTTTCCATTGACAGATAACAAATATGCTCCTGCAGTCACTCTCAATGGGTTCATCTTTATTCTTGGAGGAGCTTATGCACGAGCAACCACCATCTATGACCCAGAGAAAGGCAATATTAAAGCAGGTCCCAACATGAACCACTCCAGGCAGTTCTGCAGGTGAGAAAAAACATTAAAATGGAATTACCGGTGCCTTAAAATTTTCTGTTGATAAATAAGCTACTACAAGTGAAGGGGAGAGGGGAAGGGAGGTGTGAACCAACTGGGGTTTTTCCTCGTCTCTTTTCTGTACATGCTCAGGCACACAGCATTTCCCGAAGTGTACATTCAGCAGTCTGTTATGGCTCACGTGCCTCCTCACATTCAGGCACGATGGATCGTGGGGTGGGATGTGAGTTGGGCTCCTCCAGTGATTACAGGAATGCTGTTCTCAGTTTGCCATGTGCAACTAGAGGATGATAAATACCTTCTGTAGGAGAGACCACCATCATGTGGAATGTTTTTGTAACCAGCTAAAAGGTCCTTGAAAGAAAAAAGAACACTGAGTAAGCACCACACACCAATATTAATTACTATTATTTATTAGGTGCTTGTGATTGCTTTTTGAGCTCCCTTCCCTGATCGTGGTCACAAGTTGAACCAATTTCACCAATTGTCTGACAAAAATAAAACTTGGCAGCCATTGCAGTACTGGCAGCACTTAAAGGCCTTTTAAATAGTTTTACATGGCTGCTACTGAAAGACAGGCTTGTTTTGCACTGTGCACAGCCAGCCCTTCACAGAGCAGATTCCCAGGCTGGGGAAGGGCTGAGCTGCTGCTTTCCTGGAAAAGCCACAACTGCTCTCTAGACACTGCACAGGCACCAGGTGAGGGTTTGTTATCCATGTCTGATGCAGCAGAACCCTGAGGCACTGAGCCAAGTAGTGCACCTTGCTCCAGGGGTGTCCCTGGCCCCCATCCTACTGTTGGAAAACACCTCCATGTTTTAACTTGGATTTAGCCTTTCACTTCAATGCACATAAGATAATGCCTTTTAAGAAATCATGCTCAGTTTTTCTCTTTTTGCTGTTTTTTTTTTTCTCATTTTCACCTTTTTCACTTCCTTTTATTAATTTGAGAGGCACCCTCTCTTGGCTGCTGGAGCAGATATTGCTGTAAGGAGAGGGGTCAGAGCACCAGCTGTGTCCCCAGCCAGTTCCATCCCCGTGGCTGCTGTCCTGTTCCCCTGCTAAGGACACATCCTCCCGGTCCCTGCACTCCAGCAGGAGGCAAAGCAGGATGAGGAGTGCAGTGCTCAGGCAGCATATAATGATATTTTTCTCCTGAAAACCAGAAATAACAGGCACAATGCCACTCAGTACTAGAGCTCTAAGCTGTAAAATGAAACATGAGGGATTTGGACATTTGATATGTTCCTCCGTCTTCCCATCCATCATAGAGAGGGATGAGCTGCTCTTTGAACATCTTGGGTTTGTAAAAAGTAACAAGAATCTGTTAAATATACAAGAGAAATTGCATGGCTGATTTCAACTGTTGGCTTAGCACCTCACCTGAACTTGCCAGGGTTTCTAACATGAAGGGATGCTTTGCTCTGTACCCTGCAGAACAGAAAGACCAAGGAAAGTGAACCAGTGACCTAAATATTCCTTAGTGCTTAGGCACCATAATAATGGTCTTTGTTTATGTAGAATTTGCCACCCGTCCATAAAAAATAACTTCAAACTTTTAAATTACATTTCTTTCTAATGCCTAAAGCAATGGTGGTCAGGAAACTTATATTTATAGTGTAATGGTCACCAAAAAAAATACATATAATTGGAAGCAAAAAAGGCACCATTTCAAAGATTCTTGAATGCACTGGGAAACAGTCAAGGAAAAATATTTCAGCCTAAAGACATGTAAAGCCTGTGACAAAACCTATATATAGATCAGTGTGTGTGGAAATAGGGAAGATGGGGGATCAGCAGTAACAAATAGGTTAAAAGCCTGCTGCTGCTACAGGAGGCTGAGGGAACCAGTGCTGAGGGCTAATGGGAGTAAAAAGAAAGGCACTAAAACTTTGGGGATGAAATTTGTAGTTTGAATCAGCTATAAAACCACTGCTGATGAGACTGATGAGGTAGCAAAGTAAAATTGGGTAGGTGTTTCTCATCTGTATCTGGAAGGGAACAGGGAGGTTTGGTTCCGTGTTCTGCTGTGAGGAACCAAAACCAGTTACTGTTGGCAGCAAGGAAAGATGGGAACACTGAAATTATATTCTCAGATCCAGCAACCCAGCTGTCTTAGACACAGGTGTCTTTAGAGACTTCATTGAGAAGCTGATTGAACCACTAATGTTGATTTTTAATAACTTTTCAAGTTGAGGATGGATCAGGGCACTGCCAGAGTGTTTCTGTACTTGGAAAAGGTGAAAAGGAGAATTTCAGTGCAGCAATTAATTTTGCAAAGTGCCAGCATCAAGGTAAGTGGTTTCACTTAGCCTCATGTTGGTCCTCTGCGAAATACCAGAGTAGTTAATTTGGGATTTCATCAACAAATAACTAGATGCTAATAAAATAATGAAGATCAATCAATGCACTTTTCTGGAAAATGAAGCTTGTTAAACCACCCTGTTGTCATAAACTCATTCAGGTTTGAAAAGACCTCTAAGGTCCTCGAATCCAGCCATAAACCTGACACTGCCAAGTCCACCAAAGGTGTTGAGAAGCCTGGATCTTTGTTTTGGTTTGTAATGCAACACGCCTGGCTGCTAAAGACAACTGTGATGCTGTAATATACTGCAATTTCTCCAAGGTATTTGGCTGGCATTATATGGAATTAACAAGGCACATGGTAGAGAGATTAAATCTGCTTCACTGTCAGATCTCAAAATGTAGTTGTTAATGAGAAGGTATCATTCGGCAAGGCCACTGGCAGCAAGCATTTCTTCTTCTCCAATGCTATTTAATACACCTACCAACAATCCAGGTAATAGAAAATCTCTCCTGATAAGGCTGCAGGGGGCTTAACACTTACTGTGTACAAAATATTACAGAAGGAGCTATTTTATCAGTTCCCTGAATATCTCAGTTGAACTGTCTCAAGCCAGCAGTGGTATTCTAAATACAAAGACATGGAGCAAGCACACTCATAGCAGCCCTGCTCCCTTAGAAAGTCAGGCTCTCAGAGGAGGACATAAACGAGATCACTCAGAGCAGCACAACATGAGCTCACATCACAATACTCTGGATGGAAGTCAGTCCAATATTGGGGATATAAAACATGCCCCAACACCAAAATTAAAACAAGCTGAAGCTGGGTAGAGCCAGTGCTGCCACATACAGTGCCAAGAGATGAGTGAGGGTCCTGGGTCCTGCATCAACATGTGAAAATATCAGCAGAAGTTCAAAGGGAAGCTGCCAGAAAGACCCCAGATTGCAAATCAAACCTTTGACATGAAACTCAAGGAGTTTATCAAAGAAAGGCTGAGAGGTGACTTAATCACTGGGAGCAAATGTTGAAGCTTTCAGTCTCGCAGACAAAGGCGTAGCAGGTTACAATGGCTGGAAAGTCAAGTTACACGACTCGTAAGTGAAGCACTTTTCCAACAGCAAGGATAATTAAACAGAGAAGTAGCAAGGGAGGGGGTGAACTCACCAACACTCGCTGTTTTTAAGAGGAGATTAGATACGTTTCCAGGAGAGATGCTGCCTGGGGAAATGTCCGTGGCCTGCATATACACAGGCTCAGATTAACTAAGCACAGAGGTCCCTTCTGACCTTAGCCTGTGAATCTATAAATTCCTCATTCCACTCATTAGCATGGATCACAAAAAGCATGGTTTAAAAGCAGCAACATAAACAACTTAAAAATTAACTGCATGCTATTGATCTCCTCTCACCAGGAATCACTCAATACTGAATTTGCTGGGAAAAATCTTGACCGCATCACTTTCATTTTTATCTGCTTTGTTTCTACATGTTAGTGATGAGGGAGCATGATAGCTTTGAGCAGAGGGGAAAGTAAATGTGTGTGACATTCCCTGCCTGTGAAAAATTAAAGGTCCATTCAAATGGTTTTAATATCAAGTTAAATTACTTTTAATGAAAAATGAAAAATAAATGGTTCAGGTCTCCAGCTCACAATCAACAGAAGAGCAAATTGAGGATCATTTTCAGATTAAGCCCAGCCTGATGGAAGTCAATAAGAAATTCATGCTGATGTAGAATTAACCCTTTGAATGATGGTGCCAAATGGGAAAAGAGCTATGATAGGCCTGAAGCATTTTTAAATTCACTGAAAGGTTGAACACCTTCCACACAACAGGTGAGGGAAATATTTGATATTTCCGAAACATCAGGCAAGTGTGAGCTTTTTGCCACGCACCCTTTCTCAGTTTGGCAGCCCCTGTTTATTTGCAGGGTCTTGAGATGGTGGACAGCAGCCAACAGGAAGGAAAAGCCAGAATGAGATGATGACACCACACTCTGCCACACACCTGCCTCCAACAAGACTTGCAGATATCCCTCCCCTTCAGTGTGGCAAGGCCTCCCTTTGCAGGTGGGAGTTCTCCCTCCCTGCAGTGCCCTTCAAGGGCTTATTTTTCCACAAGTGAAAAGAATACCAAATGCATTCCTGTGCATGATTAAAAATTCCATATTCTGCTTGCTTAGAATGCAGGCAGCGTGCAAACAGGCTTGTGCTACAGAGAGCCTCCACGGGGCAACAGCAGCAGCATGGTGGTGCCAGCAATAATTCCAGAGAAGCTAATTTAGTACCAATAATTCCCAACAGACACCAGAAAAGCATTTTCTTCCTCCTCCTCTGACTGCTAACCAGTAAGATTTATTAAATGGTTCTGCTGAATGGAAATCCTTAATAAAACTTTGACTCAGGCTGAACAGCAGAAAACCAGGGTCAGTGTGGGGATTATTTTACACATACACACACACCCCACCCCCACCTCTTCTTTTCAAGTAAGGCCTTGTTTTTGAACAGCAAAGCATGGTGCCTCCTGTACTGACCTGCCAGGCATTGCTGACCTACAGCACCAGCTACAGACTCCCCAGGCTGGCTCTTTTCTGCCTTGCAAAGCTCATGGTAACTCCAGGAGCACTGGAAGGGATTGAAGCACAGCTTGTCTGGATGGATGTTTCCAGGTGCAGCTATTATGGAACAGGTTTCCTCAATGGCCATGTGCCTCCCAAACCTACAGGCAGGAAGGTTGGTGTGTTCAGCCAGCAGCTTTTGCAGCGGGAGGTGTTTGTAGTCCAGAAGGGAAAATCAAAACTTTCCAGTCTATCTGGAAGGAGACATAGGTGTGGGGCTCTGCTCCACAGACAGCAGTGAGAACTGCTGCACCAGACTAACCTACCAGGCAGTAATTTCTGTAGGAGTTGATGACATGAAGGATTGTGGTGGGCATTAAAGCATAACTGATATAGACAGAGCACTCAGGCCATTACTGATGTGCTGTGGACTGTGGAGTAAAACACTGCTGGTTTTCAGCAACAAGTAGCAATGCCATGTGATGGTTTTGGATCATTAGCGAGGGAAAGTGCTCGTGGAGTAGGGGAGAATATAACTGGAGCTTGGCCAGAACACCCACACTAATAATCCCATTCCAGGAAGGGGCATGATATCCTCCTAATTGGCCATGACTAATCTGGACCCTCATTTATCCATCTCATTGTAAAGATGACACTTGTGGCAGCGTGACACGGCCACCCGAGCTCGAGCCTTGTGCGGCACAACACCCTCGGCTGCCGGCGCGGCCGCTCAGCGCCGGGGGCTGTCGGCACTGCCACCAAACCGGGACAGCGCTTTGTCCCTGACTGCCACCACCCCCCACGGACACAGGGCCAGCAATGCCTTTTGCACCACAAACCACCCTGCAGGTGTCTCAGAAAAGTCCCAGGTTTAACAGAAAGCCTAAGGAGCACCTGCAGCTCTGCCGGGCACTGCCCAGAGCCACACCCTGCAGGGGCTGGGACCCTGGAGGCTTCCCTGACCTAACACCAGCTCCATGCAGTTGATGAGCATCCTGGAATTACAGAATATCCCGAGTTGGAAAGGATACACAAGGATCATCAAGTCCAGCTCCTGTCCCTGCACAGGACAGCACCAAAAATCCCACCAGCATCATTAAATTCTACCTCCAGTAAAGCCCTCCTAAATCTTAGGGCAGGAAGGAAATTTGTCCACTAATAAATGCAGGGATCTTTTTTTTTTTTTTCCTTTAAGCAGATCCTGCACCAACCTAACTGATACTCAGTAATGTTCATGGAACTGCTCCAAATAAATGTGTGCTTCTGCATGTATAGCCAGAAATGAGGAGGGAGAAGAACATTGTTTGAGGCCTCAGAAGGTACTAAGCTTCAGGCAGTCAAAACAGTACACTAATTCAGCCATTTCAAATCTTTTGCAACCCTGAGAGTTAAAAGACAGAATTTTTAACAATTATGTGTTAACATTTCCTGATGAGGCTGATGTGATATTTAGGACTGAGCAGGAAATTTTAAAGCAGTAATAAAATTAACATTTCTTGTAGTCCCACTGCTTGATGATAAGTCCAGCATGTCATTGGGAGAGATAAGTGCTAGAGCAAGAGCACCCACACGTTCACCTCTCAAACATACAGAAAAAAAGACAGTGACATCCTCTGCTTCCAAATCTTTCTGCCCATCAGGAGACTTCCATCTTCTCATTCTACTCAGCTCTTGTCAGGCAGCATTTCTGGTTCCCACAGTTCAAAAAAGGCACAGATAGACTGCAGAGGGTCCAGAGGAGGGTTGGGAAGATGTTCAAAGGGCTAGAGAGCCTGCCTGATGAGGGAAGACTGAAAGTCTTTTCTCCCTGAAAAGAGATAGCTCAGGGGACCTTCATAGAGTATTCTAGCACTAAAAGAGCAGCCACAGGGAGGATGGAAGCTCTCTCTTGACAAGGAGAGCTTGGGGAGAAGACAATGGGACAAGAGGTAAAAGCATACAAAGACAGGCTTCATCGTGATGCAAGAATTTCTTATAGTCAGATCAGTTTTTCACTGGAACAACCTCCCCAGGGATGTGGTGGAGTCCCCATCACCAAATGTTTTCAGGATGTGATTGGACAGGATGCAAAATAATGACATCTGCTGTCCCTTTCCCACAAAGGTTGGACCAAATGATCTTTCAAGGTCCTTTCCTGCCTGGGCTGTTCTTGGATATTTTGGTTCAGTGATTCAGTTTGTCTTTCAACAGGCACTGTCAGAGAGGGGCCTTCCCTGCAATTTGATCAGCCTGGAAAAGGACTGAAAGGTGGATAGGCGGGGAAGAGATGTAAAGGGTGTTTAGATTACACAAGCACACCAGTCATGGACAGTCAGGTCCCCACTAGCCCTTGGCACACCTCAGCCTCATTGGGATTTTCCCAGGAGTGTGATCCAGAGCTTCATGGAGGTCAGCAGATGGATCAGACGATCCATGGTAGTGTCAGGGGACAGTTGCAGCATGATCCTCTGACACTGAGCATTGCTTGGGAAATGGAGGATGCCAAGGCACTTCAGGAGAATCTGTCATAGAGCAGGAGAAGCCTCTCTAGTGAACAGCAGTAATTACCTGCAGAGTAGAAAGCTGGGTCAGTCATTAGCCTGCACAGTAATAATTTGCTGAAACTCTTTTTTTTTTTGAAGGAGTGGCTAAAGGGATCTGGATTTGGATGCCCATTACCTTCTCCCCAGGCATTCTACTGGAGAGGTGGAGGTCTGGCTGCTCCACAGCCAGGGAAGTCACTGCCCCAGAGCCATCAGGGTTTGTGTCCCTGCAGCAAGGCTGTGGCACAGAGCTTCCTTCCTTCCTTCTCAGGCTCTGACAGCCTGTAATCATTTTATCTCTCTGGATTAATGGCACCAAGCAATAAACTTGCATCGTAATTATTGTAATTATTTCTTTCTTTGTATGTCAGCCTTGGTAACGATGTTTTTACAGCTGATAGGATGGAAGGGAGGGGAGAAACGAAATATTGTCACAGTAAAGAAGAAAGAGCAATGAGCATACTCCTTTCTACTCACTTTTCTTAAGGTTTTAGAACCCACTTGAGTTTTCTGTTCTCTCAGGTCCCAGAAATTAGCAGTGATTATCCTAATACTACAAAGTAGCAGCAATTTAGGATTAAATTCCTAATTATCTTAAGCACCTACCTGCCACTTTAGCCCCAGAGATGGCTGAATGTCTCCAGAGTTCTCTGTTCATATCAGGACCCACTGTGTGCTCAGAACTGCCTATTTCTTCATGGCAGGAGCAGCTCACTGCTTTGCTTAACCACAGGCACGGCTCACAAGTGTTATGCCAGTCTCATCTATGGGAATTGCATATGGAGGGAGCAGAAGTTGCTCTAATCACCATTTTAAATTCATACTGTCTTCCAGAGGGTGGAATTCAGCATCCATTTCTTCCCCACTGTATTTAGCACCATGATGGGAGGGTACAGGATTGAGCTGCTTGTCCCAGGCACTGGGCAGGAATTCTGCAGCCCAGGTTCCAGAGAATATGGGCAGCACTTGCCCACTTGCTGTAACCCCAAATCCAGAGCATGGGCTGGGGAGGAGCCCAGAACAGATAATTTTGAGAAGGTTTCCTTGGCTGCTCAGCTGCTCTGCGGTGGCAGCAGCTCTGGCTCAGAGTAGCTCCTACTAAACATGCCACAGAGAAGATTTCACTAGAAGGAATGTGGGTGGCTAAGATGCGACACAAGAATTTGTAAAGCACCCACGTCGCTGTTTAGAGACCTAACGTGAGATGCCCGGGGGAAAACCAGCACTTAAGGCCAGATTTCAGCTGTGCAGCACAGTCAGCAAGGAAGGGCTGGTGGCTGCTTGGCTCCTGTTCCTATGGTCACCTGTAGAGTCTTTCCTCTGGTTATTCCATTCTTCCCATCCAGATCAACAGCTCCATGCAGAGGAATTTCAGTTAATGAGCAGTGAGTGGCAGACCAGCCCTGTACATCAGTGGTGACTGAGGACTGAGGTCCTCTCTGTATTGGTGTGAGGTGCTGCCATCTACACCAGCATGTCCACACCAGTAAATTAAAGCTAAGGCCAGCAGACCTTGATCATCAGCACTGATGGAACCAGCCCCAGTCTCCATCCTCCACACTAATACTTGTTTCAATTGCCCGTTATTGGTAGTTCTTCAGACAGATCTTTTTTGGGGATCTTCTGGAGTTTGTTTCATTTTTCCCACTTAACCCAAGAAAACTGAAAACCCATTTAATTTTTATTCCCTTTTTTGCACCAAGCATTGTGTAGGACTACTGTTTTAATTAATAATCAGCATTTCATTAGAGAACCAAGGCAGCAGAGCTCCTTTGTACCACAGGCCATCTCTGGCATTAGACCTTCCACATCCCAAACCATATCCCAAACAAATAAGCTTCCATAAAAAAAAAAGTGAAACAAAACCAGCAACCATTACCCGAGAGCCTCATTTCTCAACTCTCATTCTGCTCATTTCAATGGCCCTTCCATCACATCAGGAGCCTGGGATGGGGCAATACTTCCTTCTCCTCAGGCCAGATTTTGCAAGCTGAAATTCCCAGCCTGCCTAAAGAGTAATTTGTTCCTGTCCAGAGATGGGCTTTCCACCCCTCAGCAAATATCCTAAGTCGAAAACTGTTGTTTAATTAGCACATTTCTCTGATTTACTGGGTCAGCAGGTCCTGCCACCTCTGCCTCCTCCTGGGTGTAGGCACTGAGCCTTGGCAGGAGTTCCTGCTGGGCAGTGCCTCTCTGCCACCAGCTCTGGCTCCTTTGGAGGTGAGCTCCTTCTCTTTCAAAGACATCTTTCAGGATGTCACTAGCTTTACTCAAGTCCCTGTTTCTCCCTGATGTTTGAAAAATAATTACCTATGGTTCAGTAAGTTCATTAGCAAACTCCCTCAGGAGCCTGGGCTATGCATCATCCAACCCTGCTGATTTGTGGATAGGCTCTAATCAAATGTTTCAAGTCTCCCTCTCCTTCCTCCTCCTTTCAGATTAACAGTTATTTTGACAAGATTCTCATTATTTCCTATTTCCTGGCGGTACCCAGGGACTAGGCTTATTTGAGTCCTCACTGTTGTCATTGTGAGTTTATTTTTAACCTCAGGCTCTGCTTCTCCACAAGGACATCAGAGTCTTGTGTTCTTCAGAAGCACGTGGCATTGTCGGTGCCATTTTAGTCTCAGCTCATCCTGTGTCTTCCAGCACTCTTTGGCTTTTGCCTTTATCGCTTTTTATCTTTCCTCTTCCCAGTACTTCAAAATTAGCCAAACAAAATTACTTTGTTTTTACCAAGCCTAAAAGATCACTAAACTTTTCCACCTTGTTAGATATCATCTTCTTAGTTGCAATTAATTTCTCATCTTCCCCTCTTGTTCTCCCTGCTCTCCTTTCCAGGTACATACTCTCCAAGTCTCCCTTTTCCTTCCCAAAGCAATCATTCATCAGTTGCTCTCCAAATGGACCCAGCTGCCAGAAAAGCCACTGCCAATCCCATCCAGATTAACATCTTTAAATTAACTTAGAAGGCAAATTTGGCTTCCTGGCAGATGAAAAGCAGACAACCCCAATTTTGGGTTCCCCCCACACAGTGAGAAGGCGGCACAGATCACACGGCAGGCCCTGCATTGGCTTTTCCCACCCAGCTGCCTCTGCCGTGCTCTGCCATTCCAAATGCACACATGGGAGCCCAGCCCCATCTTCATCATGTCCTGCCACGTGCACCACTGCTCAAGAGGCCAAGGCATGAAGAGAAAGGAAGGGGAAGAGATGAGACCAAGGGGCAATTTTTCTTTCAAAGATCTTCCACACCTGGGCACCTTCCCTCTTACCAGGAGCCTATGGACCATGGGATTTGCCCAGCCGCAGTATTCTTGATTTACACAAGGTATCTGAAGGCAAATACTTTCACTTTAGGAAAGCAGTAGGGTCTTTTGTGTTCTTTAGATGCCAAAAAAGAGCTGCCCTGTCATTCTCTCAGCTGCACAGCCACAACCTTCAGATCTGCTTTCCCCATGCACAACTCTGGGGTGCACAAAGAAAAGTCAGCAGGATCTCCAGGACCCCATGCCAGGACACAGCCATGAAAGAGGCTGAAGCAACAGAACATTCTTGAAGATTTTTACCCCCCATTTTGTAATATTCATTAACAATTAAAGAAGTAACTTGAAACAAGAGCTGATTCCAGCTGAGGTGGTGGGAACCCCAAATTGCTTGAATTGGTTTTGCATGTGCAAAGTATTACAGGGACACACCACTCTGCTGCTTTTGCTGCAGATCCCATGTGTGGGCTGGAGAAGGATCTTCCTTGGACTTTCATCTGTTGTTAACATTAGAGACAACACTTACCTACCTGGCAGGAACACAAAAAGGATTAATTTTGGGGAGAGAGAAAGGGAGAGAGAAGAGAAATGCCCACACAGCTTTATACAGATAAGAACAAAAGGTGTATTCATTGTTTGCCCACTGTTATAAAAGACTGGGTTTGTTTTAAGCCTAAAAAGAAAACTGCTCAGTAAGACAACTAACTCTAAATTTTCTTTTTTTGAAAAACACAGTGCTGTGGTTCTGGATGGAAAAATCTATGCTACTGGTGGGATCGTCAGCAGTGAAGGACCTGCCCTGGGAAACATGGAAGCCTATGACCCTAAAACAAACACATGGACACTTCTACCAAATATGCCCTGCCCCGTTTTCCGACACGGCTGCGTAGCAATCAAAAAGTACATTCAGAGCGGCTGATGTTCCCCAGGAGTTGGATGGAGAACTGTTTGTACCTGCTGAAAGCAGGCAAGAAGAATACTATTACTTACAGGAACAAAAGCAGCAAAGCCAGCCAGTGAATATATTGCTCTAAAGTCTTGAATAGTGTCTACATTGAATGTAGAAAAATCATCCTCACCTTTTGGTGAACAAGGAGCAGAGAGCTCCGTGCTATGTAAGATATTGTAACTTAATAATGCAAGGGTGTCACTAGATGTTATAGTGGCACTTGTTCTGGACATCGGCTTTTGGTCAACCCAGGTGCAATAGAATTTCTCATATTTTTTAAGCTGGGGAAGAGAGGAAAATAAATAATCTGCATTTTACTTTAGAGCTCAAGCTTGATTCTTGAAATAACCATGCAGATTAGTTTTACTATTACACTTTAGGCATCAATCAATTTGAAAGGTCAAAGTGTCCTTACCACTTTGATTCCTACATTTCTTTCTAATACATGCTTTTCAATACCAATGACTGAGAGAAATTTTATGTGACAGATGGCTTATGTTGATGTCAGTCTTCCATCAGATCAAACAAATACTTCAGTTCTCTAGAGAAGAGCCCAAAAGCAGGTGGGGTGAGGTGGGGACTAGGGAGAAGAACAGCCATTGGTAATAAATTCCATGTAAAACGATAAACAAAAGGTCTGTTGGGCTGGATGAGTTTGTGTTCCTGGTGATTCTCCTGTGGGCACATGTGGCTGTGCCCACGGTGCGGGGTGAGGGTCTCTGAACCTTTTCCTCTGGGTTTCTGCTGATGCACTTGGCAGTGCTCGATTCCCGCAGTGCAAAAGGGAAATGGTTTGGATGCCAGAGGCCTTCTCCTGATAAACCCACTCTTCATTTGGGCTGGAATCACAGTAAATGCACAGCGTAGTGTGGGTTTGCCACGTGTCCATCAAACACAGAAGATGCCTCCTGTGGCTACGGGCTCAGTTTTGGCTCTCAACCAAAATTCCTTACGTCGGGATATACACCACTATCTTTTATGTAAAGGCTGAGAAGTTTTTTTATTTTACTTTATTTCTCAAGTTCCTTCTCTAGGTGTGGAAGCCTTATACTTCTTATTTACAGATTTTAAACACATGAGTTTAAAGCCCATGGTAGAAAAATGCATAGACTTAAGCCCAGTGTAAGAGACTTCAAATTATTACTATGTAGAGTTGTAAGTATATGCACAGCACAGGGGTTATATTTTTATATATTAAAATATTGTCTATCCAGAGAGCATTGTGATGTGGAAATTCTTTATAAATTTATACATAAAAGGAACAAATGGGAGATGGACTGGGTAACATAGAGGGGGCCGGAGAAAGAATCTTAAAATTCAGCAGTAGAAGGTAACCCCAAGCTGAGGATTGTCTGGTTTCCTTCCAAGTAGAGGGAAAAAAAGTTGCCATACTTGCCTTTGCAGACTCAAATCCCAAATGCCATACCAGTAATTCAAGAAGGAGAGTCCTGTACAGGGTGTGGGTGAGATCTTGCATTCAATATCTAGTTGAATTTCATACCAAATACAGTAGCCTTTTTATATGGAGGGAGGTCTGCCTACAGCTTTGGGGAAATCAATGCAGATGTTTAGCTAATCATCTTATTTTATTAATAACCATTTATAAAATAAAATAAAATAAAAAACAAAGACATTTGTATCTTGCAGTATTTAAAGAAAATGTGCTCAAATCAGCTGAGTCAAGCTATAGGGTGACTCAAGCCTCTCATTTTGACAGTGAGGTTCCAGCCTTTGTTATGCAGTTGTTTTATTTATTCTTTAAAGAAAAGAAAAATAATAAGCACAACAAAATTATATACTAGTATCTCATTTAAAGTATTTATGTCAAACAGGGTGCAAGTGTGAACCTAAAGATTGGAGCACAAGTTTCTAACTGCCTGGGGCAGGACTAATTTTAGTGTTGGTGTGTGTCTACCTCCAAAGGAGGTGCTACCTGTCAACAAGACTGAAACACATTTGACATTTTCAATTTAGCTTATTTCTTCATTTCTCACACTGGAACAAAACTGGCTATTTCTGTGAATAATATTAAAAACAGGGTTATCTGTAATGGTATTGTATATAGTTTATGTTTACTGTTAAGTTCTTGTTATATTATAATAAATATATTTATAGATCTAGATTCAGCATCCAGATTGGATTAATTTTGTCATGCTTGATCAAGGAAACACACCACACAAATGGGGACTTCATGTTTCAACCAAGCCAGGGATGAAAATGTATTCATTCCATCTAGTTTCTCTTGCAAATCCAAAAATTTATTGCTACGACTTAAACACTCAAACTTGCAAAGTGCTTTCATTCTCATTTCAGAAAAAAATCTCTTAGAAGTAATTTTAGATTTTATTCAGAAGAATTTTCTTGTTCATCTATTTTCCCAAATGTACTATTAAGCAAAGAAGGGCTCAAGATAGTTTAGGAAATTATCTTGGAAAAAAAAAAAAAAACCTTATAAACATATTTTTTACTTTATTTTTTAAAATTAAAGCAAACGTTTGTGCTGCGCTGCTACTGCCATGTCTAAAAGATGAAAGCTGCACTTGCCCTATGGTCAAAATTCCTTCTTATCCAGTGTGGGAGCTCGGTACCTCACTGGATACATCGTTCTGAGAGCAATTCCATGCAACCGTTCATGGCTTCTTTGATGTTTCATTAGGGTGTCATCTGGTAGTTGTAAAACTGGATCTGGAACAAAGATGAGCCAAATGTAACTAGTCTCAAATACCACCACAGTGGAACATTTCAGCCGGATCTGAGGAGGTAATTTCTGTTCTGCACATTAACAGAAAGAGCCTAACATTTATTGAAATTGTCTCCAGTTCTTACAGAGTATTTAAGAGCGTGAACTGCAGTTTTTAAACATTTTAGTTTAGGCTTAGTGGCTGAGGTTGAACAGCCTGTGAAGATTACTAAAAGCCTTGCAATTCAATATTACAAAACCATGCTGCAATAATCCAGACCAAGTGGGGTAAGTTGCCAGCCTTTCATCAAGGCTCTGCACGGGTCTCTTACTCAGCACTAGCCAATAATACTTGGTAGGATGAACAAGACACAGACTATTTACTTTACTTGTATGTGGAAGTCATTTTACTTCCCTTCTGGGAAGTTGGCTGAGTGCTTTTGCCAAATGAATCATATGCACATATCTGCTCAGAGATTTTTCTTCTTAAAAGCTTTAAGTAATTCAGGGGGATAGACTGGCTCAGCAACCTGATAAAAACTCTTGCTCACTGGTGTGACTATCCCCTGGCCCATCTGGGAAAGAGAGTGATCTCCAAACGGGGCTGTTCACTGCATTCAGTGACAATTTACACAATTTACACACAAGTCATCCCCCTTTCTCCTGTTGTTTCATCTAGCAGCAAACACACTGTACTAATAAAACCTCAGCAACCCCATCTTTTAATTAACTGCAGGTAGGTGTTAAGGCTGAGCTTAGCACAGAGTAAGTGCAGCAGCTAATTAAGAGCACTGGGTACACTCCAGCTTGCCCTTGGAGGGGTCCAGGCAGACGGAGCCCCCACGTTCTGCAGCTGCGGGGATTAGCCAGGAGAGCAGCTGCTCCCGCCCAGCTCCAGCAGCACAAATCTGTTTAATCAGCAGAGATGGAACAGGCACAAGTGGCTTCAGGTACTCGACCACCCTCCCAGCTTCTCATGAAGAATTTGTCTGGAAAAAAGCAAACAGATCCCAAAGCTTTTCTCTGCTGTTTCCAATGCAAGGGCATGGTCTGAGAACCACACTGCTGCTCTGTCCCCACTGAAAAAAGGTGATGTGGTGTAATGTAATATCAAATAAAACTGCACACAGCCTATGCAGTCAGGACTTGGCAGGCTGCAACCTGTGCCAGGTCTGTAAGAAGACACGGACTCTGTATCTACTTGGACATTTTTAACTTGTCATACTAGTACAAGCCTTTTAAATTGGATGAGACCCTTAAGCTCACTCCTTAATGCTTTTCCCATTTTAAGTCAGCTCAAAAACAGGAGCTGAAGGGTGCTTTCAGCTGAGGTAGAGATGCCTGCACGCACAGGAAGGCAGCACCAAGTTCCCATCATCAGCGAGTGTTCTGGGTTGATAACTTTAGACTGCAGAAAAGGCCAGAAAGAAACTGGTCTGGAGGGAAGCAGATGGATGCATCCCAGGCACGGTGTTCCCATCACTCATTACATTGAACTGGACAGCAATACCGGAACAGAAACACCGTTTTTCCTCCAAAAAGCCAAGCTGTTTGAGGCATGATTAAACACTCGCTGAGGTTAGAATTCATGAGAGCGGGAGCTGACACTGTGGGCTCCTCAGCCGAGCTCTGGAAGCCTGAAAACAAAAACCAAAGTGGCAGACTACCGTGAAAAACAACTCTCCCTTTCCTGGTCACCAGTGTTTTTTCTTTTGATAACACACATTACTTTCAGGAAGTCCTGTTTAGCTAGCAGATTTCTTACAGAGTAATAAATTCCAATTTTCTTTATCTAAACAAATTCTGCTTCAGTTGGCAGCAGCTTTACACACAGAATTAAGTGTTTTGGCTCAGTTACTACCTGGGAGAAGAAAGCTCCAGTGGTGCCATCAAGTCATATCTGTCTGCATTTTTCATTAGTGGTGGGCTGTACAGTAAAGGTTTGATTTGAAAGGCTTCCTGCTTTTAATTTCATAATCTGTTGGTTTTGAGC